CTTGCGCGCAAGCCCACGCGCTCCCGAGACTGTTGGGCACTGTATGGCGAGGCCGCAGATCCTCGACCCCGGCAAGCCCGCGAACGCGCCCCCGGGAAGCGCAGAAGCACACTGGCTCACGCTCCTTCCTTTAGGTCGGGCATATCCTCCTACAGTTGGATCCGGGACGAAACACTAAAAATAGTCAAACCATACATCAAAGACGGCCACACAATAACAGAACCATCGTCCCCTGACTGTGAGTTGACTAGTTCTGAATACTCCTCCTGTAGAGGGACATGCCCGACTCAATCCCTTCCTTCACGATACCTCCGCTTCACGGCACCACTCTACATCGCGTCCACCTCCACTTAACAGGGCGTGACACTTGGTGCACCTCAAATTTCCTTGCCGAGCGATGAGAGCGCAATTGCTGCCACGCTCGAACAAACAACAGCACGCCATGAGGTTGCCTCTTTCCTCATGCGCCCAGGCATCCCAGCGCCTCCCAAGATCTCGCCGGGATCCTTCCTCTGTGCCGTCCTTCCACACCTTCTCCCTTCCGTCAAACGGTACTTTCGTTGGTCCCCGGTGATGTGCTCCTGCCACGCCAGCAAAGAAAAGTCACTCAGCAGGCCCGCAGAGGAGGTCCCCGAGAGGACCCCAAAAGAACATCCAAAAAGGCTTCCCGGAAGGCCCCCACAAAAGAGCATTCTTGAATGAAACACGAAGGCGGCTCCGCCTGCGGAAGCTCGGCGGAATTACAAGGTGCGCCCCCAAGAGATGGCTTGGGCCTCCTCCCCCTCCTCCTCCTCCTCCTCCTCCTTCCTCCTCCTCCTCCTCCTCCTCCTTCCTCCTCTCCTCTCCTCCTCCTCCTCATCCTACCTCCTCCTCGCTTCTCTCCCCTCCACCCCCCCCCTCCCCTTCCCCCTCCTCTCCTCCTCCTCATTCTCCTCCTCCTCCTGCTCCTCCTCCTCCTCCTCCTCTTCCTCCTCCTCCTCCTCCTCCACAATTACTCAATATGAAAATACTCTCCCTCTTCCCCTGTTGGCGTCCGGTGATGGCCGCGCATTCTCCGCGTACTGTTTTTTAACACACAGGATGCCCGGGAAATCCCGGGAAACGACTCTCGCTGAGGCGCCGGCGTCATTTTCGGGCCGAACGCCCCCCGCGTACTGTTTTTTTACACACAGGATTCCCGGGAAACGGGTTTTCGCCTGCGTTTTTTTATGATGCTCTCGCTGAGGCGCCGGCCTCATTTCTGCTCCCGAATCGTTCCGAATCGTGCTCCCGCTGCAGCGTGGGCCTCATTTTCGGATCGGTGTTTGGCCTCCGTCGTTCAGGATGGCGTTCTCGCCCTGGCGCGGGCCTCTTTCTCGCGCGCCCATCCGCCCGCCACCACCGCGCCGCACCACCACCACCACCACCACCACCACCACCACCACCACCACCACCACCACCACCATCACAACCACCACCAGCACCAGCACCACCACCAGCACGCACCACACCATCACCAGCACCACCGCGCCGCACGAACAACCACACCACCACACCACCACACCACCACCACCCACCACCACCGCACAACAACCACCAGCACCATCACAACACCACATTCCCGTTCCATGCCACAGCAACGCGATCACCCCGCACACATTCACACCACGCAACCACCAACCACACCACGCACCTACCCCCACCTACCACCATCACATCACCACACCGCACCATCCATCCCAGCTCCAGCACCATCACCATCACCATCACCAATCACCATCATATGCCGTTACACTCATAGCACCATCACCACCATCACCAGCAACCATCACCCAGCACCAGCACCCACCGCCAGCACACCCCCACCACCACCCACAACCAAAACAACCACGCACGCACGCACGCATGCGCACCACCACCCACTACGCACGCGCGCGCGGCGCCACAGGTCCGCTACGACACGCGTCCGCGGATAGAGAAAATCAGCGCCATGGTAAGGGATGGGAGGGAGGGGTAGGACGTCAGATATGACGCGAGCGCACCTAGCTTGTCCCTCCCCCTCCCCCTCCCCCTCCCCCAGGGGGGGGGTGGCGGCAAAGGAGGGGGAGGAACGTGCACCTTTTGTGCCCCTCTGGGGCCCCCAAGGTGCACGAGCGGTGCGCACCTCGTCGCCCCCCCTCCCCTCCCTGTGCCTCGTGCCCCCGTCGCTGCGCCACGCCCGCGTGGCCACACGCGTGGTCGCTGGGCTTTCCCAGGGGCCCGCCACCTCGTACCGCTGCAGCATGTGCGAGATGGCGCATGCGACCTGGAGGTAGCCGAACTCCTGCCCCTTGCATAGCCGCCGGCCTCCGCCAAAAGGGATGAACTGGTACTCCCGGGGCGGGCTGATCTCGTGCTGGCCCCCGCTCGTCCGGAGGAAGCGCCAGGGCTTGAACTCCTCCGCCTGGGGGTAGATCTCCTCGAGCATGTTGCCGACGTTCGGCGACACGGCGACCACGGAGCCCCGGGGAATGCTCTTCCCCTTGAACTTGATGTCGGCCTCGACCGTCCTCATCAGCAGCATGAGCGGCGGGTGCATCCTCAGCACCTCCATCATCACGCTCTTCAGCTTCTTCATCTTCTTGTAGGCCGAATACGTGAACTTGCCACCCTCGAGGCACTCCCTCTGCTCCTCCCGCAGCTCGCGCGCGAGGGCGGGCCGCGACATGACCTCCAGCGCGGTCCAGGCTGTCGTGATGGAGCTGTTGTGCATCCCCCCGAAGAAGGCGGCGATCAAGAAACCGACGATTTCCTCGTCCGAGATGGGACGACCGTCGGGATAGGTGGAGGTCATCACGCTCCACAGGAAGTCCGACTCCGTGTCCACAGCGCCGCTCGCCAGCTTCGCCCGTCGCCCCTTGAGGATCGGCAGAACAAAGGCGGACATCTCCCGCCGCGCGGCGTCCCTGTTCCAGTGCCTCGTGCAGGGGAAGTGCGGCATAAAGACCGAGAGCGGCAGCATGCCCTGCTCGAGCGTGTGCAAGAGGTGGCTCACGGAGTGGCCTCCGTGGTGGTTCGAATGCAACATCTCCCGCATCTCCGTGCCCATGAGGCAGCGGACCGCGGTCCGGGTCATCAGCTCCGTCATGGAGTCCCTGACGTCGATGGTGCCCGCAACGCCCCACTCCTCGTCGAAAAACTGCGACACCTCGTCGTCCAGCGTGCCGCAATAGCCCGCAAGGCAACTCTCCGTCAACCGCTCGCGGATAAATCTGAGCTGGGCCATGCGGGTGTGGTAGTCCGCGTCGTAGAGCACCTGCAAACAATGCCCCGGGAGAAACACGTGAATCTACAGATTCCCAAATGCTAAAGATTTGTTCAACATATTTTGTGGATGATCGTCTTCTCCGCCACTTCAAACATTTTCCTATGTTTTTGTGGGAGCCGTCGTTTAGGTGTGTGTGTGTGTGTTTGTGTGCGTCGGTGCTGATTGCTCCATCCTGAACCTTGGGCCCGAAGATCGGGATCATGAAGGAGTACATCTTGGCCTGGTCGAGGTACTTGTCGCTCGTGAAGAAGAACTCCTGCCCCTGCTCCCCGACGAGGAACACGAACTCCTTGGCGAGCATGTTAACCTTGAAGATCTCGCCGTGCTTCTTGTACCCCAGCCTGATGAGCTCCAGGGGGTCCTTCAGGAACTGCACCAGGCCTCCAAGGACAGGCAGGCGCGTCGTGAACGTCGGAGGCGCATTTCGATTCTTCAGCCACTTCCTCACGGATCAACACAAACATTGCATACACTTACGATCAGGAACTTTTGCGCAGCGTGTCGCGGCGGTGGCCCAGACGGCACCTGTGTTACACTGCGAGCTGCAAGCGTGTCGCTCCGCTCCGCGGAGCAGGAGGTTCTGAAATGCTCGAGACGTCGACGCTTGGAAACGGAGATGCGGTCAGCGTGCCGCGCCGAAGCGCGGTGGGCTAGAACCGGCGGAACGACACGCTATGCTTCGGTCGGGCCTGTCCTCCTACAGGCATATTTTGGAAGAGGAATAAGAAGTAGCCAACAAATCCTCAAACATACTCAAAACGGCACGAACGTTGTCCCCAAACTATTTTTTATATGTTTGGAATGTTCCTGCTGTAGAGGGACACGCCCGACTTAACGCTATGCCACAAAAACACCTGACCGTTGTCTTCCGGAAGGCCGCACGGATTTCTTCTAGGATCAGCGCGTAGCGCGCCAGGGGCGGTGCTGACGGCGCTGCCAGGGGGGGGGGCCCAGCGCCGAACCGAGAAACCGGCGCGGACCTCCTGAAGTTTCTGCCGTTCTGGCCCACCCGGCAGGTTGGGAATCTTAGATTTGTGTCTGTTTGTTTGCTTCTGCGGGTATATATAAACAATATAACTGTTATTATTGTCGTTCGGATTATTCGTGCTATTCTGACCAATATTATCACTCACGAAACACATTTCCGACCCGCTTCGCACACCCTGCATACCGCGGCCGCCAGGCACGAAGCTGGGCGCCCGAGTTACCCGGGGTAACTCGGGCCCGGGGTAACGCGGGTTCGGACTCCCGAAACACGAACCCGAGTTAGCCCTGACCCGAGTTACCCCTGATGATGTGGGGCTCTGGGCGCCCGAATTACCCGGGGTAACTCGGGCCTGGGGTAACGCGGGTTCGGACTCCCGAGAAACGAACCCGAGTTCACCCTGACCCGAGTTACCCCATGATGATTCGGGGCTCTGGAAATTTCCGACCCGCTTCGCACACCCTGCATACCGCGGCCGCCAGGCCCGAAGCGTGCCGGTGCCCCCTGGGTGTGCGGCCTCGTGCCTTCGACGAATGGCGGCCGCATGCCGCGGCCGCCGGCGCCCCGAGGCTGCCGGTGCTCCCGGGAGCTCCCGCCGCGCCCTTCTCGGATGGCGGGGGCCTCTCGTGACTGCCTACCAAACCACCCCAACCCAACCCGAAGACCCGAATTTCGGGTTGGGGGGGGGTGCGGGATCCATGTGTTTTCTCAGCGTTCCCCGACCCCCCCCCCAACTGGAAGTGGAGGGCAAATCGGGGCCTTCGGGTTGGGTTGGGGTGGTTTGGTGGGCGATGATCTCGGAGCAGAGCATAGATTCTCCTTCGGTTCCTGAGGGCATAGGCGCCCACCACGACGGCGGTGACGCCCGCCGGGACGGCCACCGCGAGGGAGCTTGCGAGGGGCGAGGGGCAGCGAGAGGGGAGGCGCCGACCGCGGATAGATCGGCGATGTGCCCCCGATAGAATGCATCCGCTCGTTCCTGGGCGGGGTGGGGCTATCAGACCCCTCTCGGCAATCAATGGGCGATTGGGGGTCGATGCATCGCCCCTTATTTGGCGGCGGGCGAGGGGGCGGAGAAGCGAGTGGGGGCGGGCCTTCTTAGAAGGCTCGGAAAACCCTGGGCTTTCTGACAAGTTTTCTAAGCCTTCCTGGAAGACACGGGTAACCAACCTCTGAAGGCCCGAGGGCTTCCGAGAAGTCCCGCCGCCTGCTGAGAAGGCCTTCCCCTTCTCATGCCCCCCCCTCGCTCGCCGCCGACCTGAGCCTATCTCCCCCCCATCGCTGCCCCTGGATGGGGCTGCTGGACTCCGTCCTGACCATGGCGCCGCTCGGCCGTGGAGGCGCCCGCGGCGGCTGCGGCCCACGCCCTGCTGGGCGCGCCGGGCCTCGGGCTGCGGTCCGCGGCTGCTCGAGCCCGGGGCCAGAACGGCTGCAGCGACGGGGACGCGCCTGCCGCGGCCGCTGGGTCGCCCTGCGCTGCCTCGCTCTCGGGATCCGATGGCACCTCGTCGCCCGCTGGCGCTAGCTGGGCCCTCGCGGCGATGGCCTTGGTCAGGCGGTGCTTGTGGCGATAGTCAGGGTCCGTGGTGTTCTCCGGAGGAGGAGGAGGAGGAGGACGAGGAGGAACCAAAGAACGAACGAATCACCACTGCGGACCATCGTCCGGGCCTACCAGGCTGAGACCAGGTGGGGGGGGCCATGGCCTGCCGGAAGTGAAAGCATACGCATGCACCATGCCTGCGAGACGAGCAGCTAGTCAAGACGGGGGAGGGAGGCCGAGGACAAGGGAGATGAGGAGGGACTTTCAATGTCCCGCACGTGATCTCTTCCTTGCTTGCACCGCTTGGGGCCTTTGGCCGCCCGCAATCGGTATGGAACACATTGGTACGATGCCCAACATAACATGTTGCCCAAAACCGACAGCGACCGCTATTGGGCAGGCGAGCTTGTGTTTCAAATGAACATCGGCCGCGGCGGCGCCGACGGCGAACCCTGTTCAGACTGAGTAAGAACTGCTGTTGGACTTTGCAATCGTGTGTAGGCAACATTGAAATCCATATCCAGGGCGCCGCAAGGCCGAGGCGCACTGGATATGGGATATGGATAAAGATCTAACCTCTATGGGTCTCTAGAGTCCCCCCCATCATCGAAACGAATACGGCACCCTTAATGACGAACTGGGGCCCCAGCAATCATGGAAACTCCGCCGACCCCTCTTGCCGGGGGTGACAAGGCGTGTGAGACATTTGGCTGTCCCCCTCCCCCTTTCTCCCTCCCCCTCGTCTCCCAAATCGGCTCGAGCCAGCTGGGCCCGAACCCCGAGCAAGCACCACTGGAGCTTTTGGACGCCCGAAATGGGTACGGAAAGAATGGGCACTATGCCCAACAACAAATGTTGTCCCAAGCCAACAGCGGCCGCTGTTGGGCAGGCGGCCTTCTGTCTCGGATGGACACGGGCCGCGGCGGCGTGGACAGCGAGTCCTGCTCAAACTGAACAGGATCCGCTGTTGGGCATTGTACCCATTCTTTCCGTGCCCATCTCGGGGGGAGGCAAGAGGAGGCAGGAGGAGGAGGAGGAGGAGGAGGAGGAGGAGGAGGAGGAGGAGGAGGAGGAGGATCGTCCCTCCCTCTCCGCAGTCTTCCCCCCCCGTGTCTGGGCCGCGCGCCGGCCGCTGCGACGCCGCGGCGAAGAGGCGGCCCCACCGCGCGGCGGGTAGCCGAGCGCAGGGCGCAACACATCTCGGCGGGCCGAAGGGCCGCGCGGCGGGTCGCCTCCCGGGCGCCCTCCGCGGCGCTGCAGGAGCCTCGAGGCGTGGCGCCCACATCGCCTAAAATCACGTGCCGCCCTCGCTGCGGCGCTCCAGGCGCCCAGGGCGCCTCCGGGCCCATCGGAGGGCCACTGCGGGGGGGGGGGGACCTCCCTGGGCGAGGGCGGGGGAGCGATGCGGGCGCAGGGCGGCGGTCGGTGCGCTCGGCGCGGCGAGGGGCTCGGCGGAGGCCGGGCGTGCGGCCTTAAAACAGGGCTAGGATCGGGATAAGTCGCTCCAGAGCGTTCCGGAGCGCTCTCAGAGCGTTCCGGAACGCTCTGGAGCGGCCGCGGCGCCCAATACATCCTCCAAACCCGCCGATTCTCAGAGATTTCGAATTACCCCGATCCGATTTTGTCCCGATCTTCGCGTCGTTTTAGGCCTTGCAGCCGAGGCCAGTCGCCATGGAGTCGCCGAGCGGCTACTGCAGGAGTTCTTCGACACAGCCCTTCTGTTCAGAGGAGCGGAGGCGCGATCGCTTTGTCGGAAGACGTACTCGCTGGCCTAAGCGCGAAGACGGCGCAGCATGGACAGTCACCCGCGTCTGCTCCAAGTTTCCCGTCTGGGTCAAAGAGCGAGTGCCCACAGCAGTATGCTGCAATATCTGTTGAGGGTTGTCGCACACATCTGCATCTGTGATTTTCGCCTGGCATTTTGTTAAGGCCGCTGGCAAGCAGTTCAATTCACGGCCGGCACTTCTGTACTTGCTTCCTCCACGGCAATTGGGTGGCTGCGTGCAGTGTGACAGCGTGTCTTTCAAGGGCTTGATTTGTATTGTCAGCTGTAGCTTTCATTTTCCACCTTGGGGCATTGTGGTTTCGCTCGATTGAAATAAGGTGAACACATTTGCATGTGGGCGGTGTGGAGGAACACGATCACTTCGCGCTTGTGCCGGTACAGTGCCTCGTGGTCTCGCACGGCTTCCCTTTCGTCTCGGCGCTGGAGGAGGTCGGGGTGGCGGGCAGCGTAGAATCATAAGACATCGTCTTGGAGCCATTCCCACTCCCCCTTGTCTCCAAAATGCCATTCTTGAAGGGGCCCTGGGGCACACAAATGAATAGACACAATAACATGATTCCCCATATTTTCCCACATTTCCTGGGTTTTGTCTTCCCCCCCACTTCCCATATTTTCCCATGTTTTCTGGGAGTCGACAACTCATTGTGTCTGTGTGTTTTTTTTCCCTCCGGAATTCTATGGGAGGGGGAAGCTCGTCAGCGCCCCCCCCGGGGCCTCGGGAGCCCCCCCCCCAAAAAGCCCCAAGACCGCCCAATGCAGGGCCCAGGCAGAGCGCCAGGACAGTCGAAGAGAGTGCCATGACGGCCAAGGGTAACCCCACGACAATCCGGAAGATGGCTTCAGGATGGCCCAAGAGGCCCCCAAGACAGCCCAAAAAGCGCCTCCTGAGGATCGCCGAAAGGGGCCCCGAGAGGCCAAACTCACCCCTTTCCTTTTGGAAACAAGCGTCTATGTTTGAGCACGTTGGCATTTTTCGTTTCGACAGCCACCACGACGGCCCCAGTGGCCCCCAAGAGGTCATCCCAAGACGGCCCATAATGCCTCCAAGAGGGCCCCAAGACGATCCAAGAGGGCCCAAAGACAGACCCAGGGCCCCCCAAGATGGCCCAAGAAGGGCTCCAAGAAAGCCCAAGAGGGAGAATACGAACTGACATTTCGAGCCTTTCCCAACAATGTGGCCCCTCAAGCCCCCCAGAAGCCCCCGAGGGCCCTCCAAGAGACCCCAAGAGGCCTCCAATACGCTCCCTAGAAGCCCCCGGAGGCCCCCACGAGGCCCCCAGAAGCCTCCCACATGTCCCAAAGAGTTCTCCAAGAGGCCCACGAGAGGCATCCCAAGAGACCCCCAGCTTCATTCAGAAGGCTCCTGACACAAAATGTGACTTCCACGATTGTCTCAAACTCTCATTCCTTGTATGGGTCGGCGGACTGGCGTAAGCCACTTGGATAATTATTTTGTCCGCAGCACCTGCCGCACAACAACGACAAATATTAGGACGACGATTATGACAACGACCACGATACGACGACGAGTACGACTACAACTACGACTACGACTACAACCACGACTACGGTCACGACTACGATCGCGACTACAATCACGATTACAATCACGATTGCAACCACGACTACAATCACGATTACAGCCACAACGACTGAGTCCTGTTGCAACCCCATGAGAAGATGCTCATGTATCCTCTAGCGTGTAGTATAGCCAACGATTGAACAATCCCTGGGGAACAGACCCCCAAACCTTATCCAGCCCGCCCAAACAATCTGCCGACCCTGTCGGCGTGCGCTCGGTCGACGCATCCGTTGTCTTCTTTCCCTGCGTCTCCGTCGCCCCCTTTCCCTGTACCCTCCGCTTCAAGCCTGCCAGCGAGAGAAAACCGTAGCAACGTCGTACATAAGTCGAAGGGAAGCCCCTTCCCTTTGATCCCTCCCCCGCCGAAGGGGGGGGGGGTCCCGGGGGGGGGTCAGATACGAATCCGCCCCTGGGCGTCCCAGAGCCCCAAGAAGCGCCAAGACGCGCTAAGAGGGCCCCGAGCAGGCCCAAGAAGAAGACCACGAACCGACATTTCGAGCTTCCCGCCCCAAGAATCCCCTGCAAGGCCCCAAGAGCCCCTAAAGGGGCCCGAAGAGGTCCCCAAGAGGCCCAACAGAGGCCCCAACAGGCCCGAAAACATCCAAAAGGCCTTTCAACCACAACCCCAGCACGGTGGCGGGAAGGGCCACAGGCCACAAGGCTCCCTATCTGTCTCTGATACGACTCCCTCGGCCTACATGGGGAACATCTCCTTCGCCTTCTCCTGCTCCCTTCCTCCTTAATCCCCTTCCTCCTCCTCCTCCTCCTCCTCCTCCTCCTCCTCCTCCTCCTCCTCCTCGTATTCGTCGTGGTCGTCGTCGTCGTCTTTGGGGTCGGCGGCACCGGCCGTAAGGCCTTAGCAATAAAGGGGAAACCAATCCCCGCTGCGACGACGACGACGACGACGACTTCGACTACAACCGCGACTACAGTTACGACTAACATCGCGACTACAATGACGACTGCAACCACGAGTACCGCCACGACTACAACCACAACTACTGAAATATACATTTATATATTTATATATTGCAATATTCATGAGGAGATGCTCACACATCCTCTCGCGTGTAGGGTAGCCCGCACAGGATTGTCCCCTGGGAGAAACAGCCCCCAGCATGATCCAGCCCGGCCAACAATAGAGAAAATCATATACGCCGCGACGGCGACGATAACGACGACGACGATGACGGCGGTGACGACGACGACGACGAGGACAACGTCGTCGACGACTACGATAACGACCACCAGGAGCAGCAGGAGGAGAACGAAGAGGAGGAGGAGTGGCAAGAGGAGGCGGGACGAGTTTGTTCCCCGCCGAAACAAACCGGAGGGAAACAGGGGTGCGCACGACTGAAGACCTCCCGAAAAGAGCCTCTGGGGGCCAGGCTCCTTTTCATATCCCGTGCGCCTCGCGTTTTCTGGGGCAGGGAGCCCGAAACTCCAAGCTGCAGTGGATATGGACACAAGTGTTACCTGGAACGCACAGAGACATGCTAGTACTACATGTCCTCCTCGGGGGC